TATATACTCGGGGATCTCTTGGTATCCCGAGGATCTCTTGGTATCCTCAATATATGCCAGGGTTCTCTTGGTATCCCGAGGATCTCTTGGTATCCTCAATATATATCAGGGATCTCTTGGTATCCCAAGGATCTCTTAGTATCCTCAATATACGTGCCAGGGATCTCTCGGTATCCCGCACCTCAGCTCGATCATAAATACATACAGGGGATCTCCCGGGATGCCTTCCCTTAGCCCCAAAATGAAACACACAACAATAGCAAAAAGAGGATATACTCAATTAAGCTCAACTTCATACCAAGGCAAAACAGATAATTCTAACCTAGCATGCTTCACGTAGTACAAATAAGGCAGTTAAAACAAATAGAGCAATTTAGTCAATTAGACATGCTTTTCTAGACTAACAGCAGGCTAAATTTTCCAAATAGTGTAAGCAAGAAAAGGAAGAACACAATTTAAGGCTATTCTTAATGAAAAATCCGGGTTTCCAACAATTAGCACAAGTACGCACTCGTCACCTCACGTACAAGGCATTACAATTATCACAATATCAATCCTAAGGGGAGAGTCCCTCACACAAGATTAGACAAGCCACTTACCTCGAACCGGCTCAATTATCAACCCGAAACCGTGTTCTTTCCACGAGTATTCGACTCCCAATGGCCCAAATCTATACAATTAAATTTCATAATGCAAATAGCACTTCAAGTAACTGATTCTACAATTAAATTCTAAGCTAATACGTTAAATTAGGTAAAATGACCAAAACGCCCCTCGGGCCCGCGTCTCGAAATCGGGTAAAATTTATATTTCCAGAATCCTCGCACTCTCACGAGTTCATACATACCAAGAACAGTGAAATCGGAGTCCAAATGACCCCTCAAATTCTTATTTTAAAGTCTCTTAATCTCAAGCCCTAATTCTTCAATTTTAGGCCTAGATTCCATGATTTACTAGGTAGATTTCACATTAGAAATGAGTTTTAAGACCAAGAATCTTACCTCCAAGTGATTCCCCTTGAATCCCTCTTCAATCCCCTTCAAAGAGCTCCAAAAACGATTAAAAATGGTGGGAATAAACCCCAAAGTCGCGGACTAGACGACCCTTTAAAAACATTCTGCCCAGCTATTAGAGCATCTGCGGCCTTGGGACCGCTTCTGCGGTCCCGCATTTGCGGAATAATGTCGCATCTGCGACTTATCACTTAAGGCCCAGATTCCGCATCTGCGGCTCCCCTTTCGCAGATGCGGTACCACTCCTGCGGAAAATCCACCGCTTCTGCGGTTCCTGCTGGCTTCCCCATTTCCCGCTTCTACGGTCACCGAGCCGCTTCTGCAGTGCCGCACCTGCGGAACTCAAACCGCAAGTGCGGTTATGACAGATATCAGCAGCTTCAGCTGCTTCAAACCATTCCAAAACCTCCCGTCAACCATCCGAACTCATCCCGGGGCCCCTGGGACCTCAACCAAAGGCACCAACAAGTCTAATACCACTGTCCAAACTGGTACCAATCCTTAAAACACCTAAAACAACATCAAAACCTCGAATTAACCATGGATTCTAGCCTAAGAACTCCAAAATTCTCAAAATACGCTTTCGATCAAAAAGTCTATCAAACCTCGTCCGAATGACCTGAAAGTTTGCACACACGTCACATTTAACATTACGAAGCTACTCCAACTTCCGAAATTTCATTCCGACCATCGGATCAAAATCTCACTATCGAATTGGAAACTTCAAAAATCCATCTTTCGGCATTTCAAGCCTAAATTAGCTACGGACCTCCAAAACACAATCCGAACACGCCCCTAAGCCCAAAATCACCCAACGGAGCTAACGGAACCATCGGAATCCCATTCCCAGGCTGTCTTCACACTGTTCTGACTACGGTCAAATTTCCAAAACTTAAGCTCTCATTTAGGGACTGTGTCCCAAAACTCTCCGAAACTCAAAACCGAACATCCCCGCAATTCAAAATAGCAGAAATAAACACGGGGAAAGTAGTTAATAAGGGATCGGGGCGTAAATTCTAAAAATAACTGGCCGGGTCGTTACATCAACAAAACATGCAAAAACTCGGCTGGGCTCTGAAATATCAAACCTCACAAGTCTGTTAGCTAAGGACTGAATGTCCAAAGCTAGTGGCATCTCCTCTGCTGAAATAAATGCCAAGCTACGCATACTCTCTGCCTTCCTGCTTAAGGCATCCGCAACCACATTTGCCTTGCCCGGATGATAAAGAATGGTGATGTCATAATCCTTCAGTAACTCAAGCCATCTACGCTGCCTCAAATTGAGATCCCTTTGCTTGAACAAATGCTGTAAGCTGCGATGATCAGTATAAACCTCACATAACACCCCATACAGATAATGCTTGCATATCATAAGAGCATGAACAATCGCGGCTAACTCCAAATCGTGCACAGGGTAATTCTTCTCATTAATCGTCAGGTGACGCGAAGCATATGCAATAACTCGCCCCTTCTGCTTCAGTACACAACTCAAGCCAATGCGTGAAGCGTCACAATACACCGTATACATCCCCGAATCGGAAGGCAACACCAAAACTGGTGTTTTGGTCAAAGCTATCTTGAGCTTCTGAAAGCTCACCTCACAATCATCAGACCAACGAAACAGAGCACCCTTATGGGTCAATCTAGTCAAAGGTGCTGCAATGGATGAAAAGCCCTGCACAAACCAGCGATAATAACCTGCTAACCCCAGGGGACTCCTGATCTCAGTCACCAAAGTGGGGCGAGGCCAATGATGTTAGGCTATAATCTCATGTTTTAGCCGATTATTACGTTCCAATTTACTGCACTTTAGTTGAGTTTGAGCTTTAATTGCTAGTGTTTTGCACTAATTATGTGTGTTATGCCTTGTAGGAGTGATTCCGAGCTATGTAGATGTTATGGAATGAATTCAAGTGATTTGGAGCTTTGAAGTCTGAGTAAAAGCCCAAGGAATTAAACCGGGATCGTGTTCGGGGATCAATGGATGATAGTGCAACGAAACGAAGAATCGAGTAGGCATATTATGCACTGTCTAGTAAAATGCACATAACTTTTCGCTCAGAATTCCATTTGGGCACCACAATATATGGTTGGAAAGAAAATTCAAATGGATACAACTTTGATGTTTTACATTTTTTCAAATTCCAAATAGAACAGGGTGAAAAGTGCACGGCCTTGCACTGACCGCGCAAATGGGGCAGAAAGTGTGAAATGTGCGCGGGCAGACTTCCAGGTGCGCGGCCGCGCACGTCCTGTCTAGGAAAAGTGTCCTTTTCGCGTAGGAGAATGTGTAATTGTTTGGGCCCGACCCTATATGGTATATATACATGGAAATACGGTATTTTGAGGACTTTTGACATAATCTAGACCTAAGGAAGCTAAGGAGAAGAGGGAGAGGCAAGAGCACAAGGATTTCACCATTCATCCTCACTCAAGACAAGGGTTTGGATGTTTTATATTTTCCTTTGACTTAAACTTAATTGTGATGAATTTCTACATATCCATGGAGTAATTCTTCCTTAGGAATTGATGGATTTCGTGTTTTGAGAATTGCTTGTGGATATTAACTCTAGTTTTATGTATTGAATCATTTTGGGTATTTTTATTATTGCACATATATTCACATGTTTATGTAATCGAAAGAGGCATAACATGTGATGTTTATCATTATCTTGTTGGTTAAATTCATTGATTCTCCTTAGTAATCGAAAGAGGCTAGTTGAATTATTGTTTAGACCTAGTTAGGAGAATAATCTAAAGAGATTCACCTAAAGACTAATCCACTTCGACTTCTTGCATATCTTCACCGAGCTTAACTTAGTTCATATCGCGAGGTTGAGACTTAATCGAGAGAGGAGTTTCTACTATACAGTTGAACTAATAACCAAGTAAATTCGAGAGACTCGCTTGAACATTAGAAGTGAATTGACTATAGTTATTTCCCGAACAAGTATCTTACACCTATCCAATCAACCCATATTTTCTCTCCTTGATATCTTCTTGCTTACTCGTGTTTCAATTGTCATTAGCCAATAGTTTAGACTTTTAGTAAATTTTAGTTTTAAATCATACAACTCTAAAGTGTTGATCATCTTGGATAGAAATCTAGCTATAAACTACGATAATAACTGTTTAACTCCAATCCATGTGGATACGATATTATAATTACTATATTCGAATAGCGAGCATATTTAAGTGTGTGTTTCATTCGTCAAATTTTGGCGTCGTGGCCGGGGATTGGCAATCAACAGTGTTTGAAATAGTTTGTAGTGCTTTCAAGAATTTTTTTTTCTTTTTGTTTGGTGTTCTTTGACTGTGCGCATGCTACAGGTTAGATTGGTACATGACTCGATCTTCTAGGAAGGAAGTGCAATGATACGACCCAGAAAACGAGAAATATCTACGACAGTTGAGGAAAGAAAGAAATCTCCCTGAGAATATATAGAAGGTTGGGCAATCCTCAACCAAGGAAAACATGGCTGGAGATGATGATAAAGTGACTTGGCTGCGAGAAAGGAAACCCAACTAAGAGAAAAAGCTGCTCGAGATGCTGAGGAAGCAGCCATTAGAGATGCAGAAATTGCATATGAAGAGGAGAAGGCTCGAAGAATGGCTCAAAATCAGCCCTTGGTTCCAGACTAATTCGAAAACATAGCTCCCCGCCAAGGGAGACCATTTGGTGATTATGCTAGACCGGTCTATAACCAAGGTTTATCCAGTTTGAAACCTCCTCCAGTTGCAGCCAATAATTTCGAGCTGAAGCAAGGGTTGCTTCAAACCCTCCAAATCAACTGTGTATTCAGAGGAAAGATGAACGAAAATCCAAACAATCATCTAATGGACTTCGAGGATATCATGAACACCTTCAATAAAATGGTGTGTCACAAGATGCAGTGTACTTAAGGGCATTCCCCTTCATTCTTGAAAGATGATGCAAAGCACTGGCTTCGAAGCTGGCCCCAGGGATCAATTAGAACATGGGAGGAGATGACCTCAAAGTTTCTTGCTAAATATTTCTCCTCAGCTAAAACGGGCAAGTTAAGAAGAGAAATCCATAACTTTTGCCAGAATGAGACTGAGATTGTGTTTGAAGCATGGGAGAGGTTTAAGGAGATAGTGCGAAAGTGTCAACATAGCGAAATTGAACTCTGGATGCAACTCCAGGACTTTTGGGATGGTTTGACACCGACCTCACGGAGAACATTGAGTAATGCAGCTGGAGGTCCATTGATGAAAAAGACTCCAGAGGAGATAGTCACTATTCTTGATGAATTGTCTGAAGATGCAAATCAGTGGCCCTCGGAGAATGCTGAAAGAAGAAGATCAACTGGTGTTTACCAGGTTGATGCTAACACATCTGTGCAGGTACAACTTGATGCCATGGCAAAAGAAATAAGGAAGCTAACCTTAGCTTCAATACATAATGAGCCTCATGCAGCATGTGACATATGTGGAAGAAGACACCCTACTCATGAGTGTCAAGCTTCAATGGAGGAGGTTAACGCTGTGGGTAATTACAATTTCAATGCAATGGGTCAGAAGCACCCCAGTTTTTCATGGAGTTCACCTGGGGGTACAGCAAATTCATCGCAACAAAATAACTCCAGATTTCAAGGAGCTCCTAGTTTTGGGAATCAGCAGAGGCCGCAGTTTCAGCCTCAACAACCAATTCAATCTGGGTTAGAAGATCTAATGAAATCCTTCATTGTCAAGACTAATGAAAGATTAGATGTTCATGGGGCAGCTATCAAGGAACTTGGGACAAGTTTGCGTAACTTGGAGAGACAAGTGGGACAAATTGCAACTGTATTATCTAAGAGAATCTCAGGTACTCTACCAGCTGATACTGAAAAGAATCCCAAAGAAACAGTAAGTGTTGTGACCTTGAGAAGTGGACAAGTGTTGAAGGATCCAACTCCATTTCACAAAGAAGCTGCGCCTGAAAAAGAAAGTGGGAAGAAACTGAAAATTGAAGATGATAAAAAGGCTGAGAATGCGCTCAAACCCTCAAATTGGAGTCGAACAATCCAAAACTATTCAAATAGTATAAAAACTAATCAATGTATATTCAAAAGTTCATATTTTAACTATTAAAGTGACCACCCAACCCAAAAGGCAAGATTCCCAAAATTCACCCCCGGGCCCACGTGCCTGGATTCCAGAAATTTTCAAAGGAAATTGTTACTCATAACCTTAGGAACATAAATATATGATTTTCACTAAGTTCCATAATCACTTTCGTGGAAAAATCTCATTTTTATAAAAATCCTAGGTTTTCCTCCAAACCCTTATTTTTCACTAATTTTTACATGTTAATCTACCCATAATCTAAGTATTTAACTCACATTTGGTAGAAATTACTTACCTCCAAAAGCTAGGTGAAAATCCCTCTCCAGAAGCTCCAAAAATCTCCCAAGGAGTAAGTGAAATGTGTAAAAAATGTTCTAAGTCCCATATTAAATGAACCTTACTGCCTCCAGCTTTTCCGCACCTGCGGTCAAAGGGCCGCATCTGCGGACAAGAGTCCGCTTCTGCGGAAATTCCTGGGCCTCCTGGGGCCGCTTCTACGGGCGTTTTACCGCTTCTGCGGAGGAGGGGTCGCACCTGCGAATTTGGGATGCCCTCCCTTGGCCACATTTGCGAGACTTAGCCCGCACCTGCGAGCTAGCACCTGCGGTTATGACAGATCTGGGTATTCAGTTGGTTGTTCCAAATTTCCAACTTGGTCTGAGCCTCGTCCGATTGACAGTCGGGGCCCTCGGGGCCCCGCCCCAACATACCAACAAGTCTGGAATCATAAAACGGACTTGCTCGAACTCTCAAAACGCCCAAAACAACATTAAAACTAAGAATCGCACCCCAAAACCAATTGAATCAAACTTAAGAACTTCAAGTTCTTCAATTTACTTTCAATGCGCCGAAACGTACTTAAACAACTCGAAATGACAACAAATATTGCGTGCAAGTCTTAAATGACATTACGGAATTATTCCTGGTCTCGGATTTCCGTTTGGACCTCGACATCACCAAAACCCGCTCCAAACCAAATTTAAACAACTTCTAAAACCTTCAAGAACCAACTTTCACTATCAGGCGCCAAAGATGCTCCCGGATCATTCAAAACCCGATCTGAGCTTACGCCAAGTCTGAAATCACCATTCAAACCTATTGGAACCGTCAGATCCCGATTCCGAGGTCGTTCACTCAAAATGTTGACTGAAGTCAAACTTGGTCTTTTAAGCCAACCTTAAAGAACCAAGTGTTCCGAATTCAACCCAAACTCTCCCAAATCCCCAACCAACCATCCCTGTAAATCATAAATCAGTAAAAGCAAGTACGGGAAGTCTCATTTAGGGGAATAGGGTTCTAGAAAGTAAAACGACCGATCGGGTCGTTACATTTGAACTGGTTTGGTATCAAAATTCGTAGTTAAAATTCTGTTTAAGAATTCTTTTGCGACATATATATCACGCATGTATCTCACACACAGGCAACGGCAGACCCAAAACTTTATACAAGCGGGTTTAATCAAAAATCATGGTTAGTCAATTTGTATAAGTGCAGCAATAAACGGAATTTGTGCACTGCTCTTTTTTGTTCATCAAATTACTTCAAAATGAAGTCATTTATTTTATATTAAAAAAAAGGTAGGGGAAATTTATAAAAAATAACAAAGAAAATTTTGCCCTTTAATTTTTTTAAAAATTTATCTACATAAATTAACAAATTTTATTCGAAAAATTTAGTTAAAGAATATTTAACCTACTTACAAATCGTACTATAACTCTAAGAAATTTAACGTCCAAAGTTGTTATAAACAAAAGACACGAAAAAAGAAAAGTTATAAACTAAACTAATTTATACAAATTGTTAAAGAAAAAGATATTTTACACCAAACTAAACTTTTGAGTATAACACAAATTAACACATTAATAATTTCAATAAAACTAAACTAAACTAAGCTTAAAAAAAATACAAGTAATTTCGATAAAGCACCTGAACAAAAATTTAATTTGCTTTGTAGAAAGGATTACATGTGTTTGAAGTAAAATAGAGGAGTTTAATAAGAATAGCTGTTATTGGATTTAAATAAAGAAAAAGTCATAAAGAAAAGTAAGAACAAAGACAAAATAGGAAACATCAAGGCCTAACAACAAGGAAAATAATAATATACGTTTAGGTAAAAGGCCACAGTTAATTCGCTACTTTAGCAAAGATCCGAACTTGAAACCCTGCCTTACTTTGAACCCGCTTGCCACTGCTCTACAACTTCTGTTAGTGACAAGTGGGTTCATGTATCATAATACTTAACAATTTCATAATTTTCTGATAAAATTTCAAGGTAAAAATAATTAATTTTTCCGACGAAAGTTGGTTTAACTGAACCCCTTCCTTCAAGGTGGGTCCGCCTCTGCACACAATTATACATAGGTTCACATGATATACACATTTGATACACATATGACACATATGTGATATACTGTGAGATACATATATCATTTCTTTCCATATTCATCTTCTACTTCAATTTTTCAATTCAAACCACCTCAAAATTCCACTAAAACATCCCAAAACTCATATTCAAACTTCTTAAGATGTACTCATCTATTCCAACAATACTCACCCAAAAAAAAGTATAAATTTGACCCTTTTTTGCTACAAATAGCTACTTGGCTTATATGAATAAAATTTGATATTGATAATATTTTATGAATTGATCAATTTTTATAATAATTTACTTGTGGGCGGACTTTTTTGAGCAAGTCACATATATAGCCGTCGAGCGCTAACTTAACACAACCGCTTAGCCCATTAATTTTGATTACAAATAATAGCCAAATCATATTACATTTGCTGAAAATAAAAAAAAAAATAAAAAAGCCCAGACCTAGCTCACATCGTCTTTGTCTCTCCCTCTTGCTTCTTAGTGCTTCCCAAACTCCTCGGTGAACATTAATGTGGAAATGACACCAGGCAGTCAGTTTTAAGTATGTTATTTAAAATATATCCATAGTTTACAATATATTTAAAGATTAGCCAATTTCGCTCAAACTTCAGGACACGACGTCCTAGAGTTTAAACCTCATAGTTCAAACTTCATGACATCGTGTCCTAAAGTTAGAAAATTATATCCAAAAGTTCGAATCTTATGTCCTGAATTTTAAATTAGTAGTTCAGAAATTCAGGACACATAGTTCTGAATTTCAAATTAGGAACTCAAAAATTCAGAACATTAAGTCCTTAATTTCTAAATTCAGGACACTTAGTCCTGAAGTTTGGGCGAATTGGCTAATCTTTAAACACATTATAAATTATGAATACATTTTAAATAGTAAGCTTAAAGTGGCTATTGTTGCACTTTTCCCACATTACGTATGTATGGGCCAAAAATTATCTTAGTTATGTTTAGATTATATCAGCATTAAAAGGTCCTTCGAGGGGTGCCACGTGTTACCAATTCAACAAAAGGCATATTCAAGGTCAAAGTGATCTAACAAGAGATGAAGGGCTGGGTCGAGGAGTCAACAGAGATCAAGGTCAAGGATGAGCATTCTTTTTCAACAGAATATGAGCATTCTTTTTCAACAGAATAATAACGGCTTGTTTTAGGATAAGTTTTTAAAGAGAATATTCCAGTGAATATTCTCTGGATCGATACTGTTAGGTTTTGTTGGCACATGTCCCTTTATAAATAGAAAGAGGCATAGTTATAGGGGATATTGAACACTCATTTGTAAGACAACACATTGTCATTCTCTAAAGATTCTTGCTTTATTATACACATACAAAATATACCTTTTTCTTAAGAACCTTGTCTAACTTTTCTCCCACGATCCAAGGAGAATCCAAATATTCAAAGGTCATCAATCATTCATTATTGTTAGAAAGAATATTAAAGAATCTAATCCTTTTCGGGTGACTCGCATGCTTTTATTTACTTAAAATGTCATTCATCGTCATTTAATGTTATCTCCTTCATTTTTGGATCATTGAATATAATAGTGTTGTCATCATTTATTGCTACTCAGATAATACACGTATTATCGTGCTACAAAATCGGTTAATATATCTCTTGGATATTAATATTGGCAAAGATCAACTCTATTTTATTAGAAAATCTAACTGTTTAAACCTAGACCTAAATTTTGGGTCAAACAATTTGGCGCCGTCTGTGAGTATTTCTTAGCTAATATTTTAGTTTTCATTAGATTTACAACTCACGTGATTTGCTAACCTAACGAGCCACAAAGTTTTTCTCCTTCTCTACACGTAGAAATTTCCATGGCAGGTAACCAAGGAAATGGAACTAGGGCGACAGGTGACGTCCCCAGTAACCTCATGAATGCTATCAACGAGAACTACGAAACACTAGCGATGTTGTGACACCCACTGCCTCCCCCAAGCGCGAGAGTCGCCTCCCCCTCATTGTAGCACAACGAAACCAAATGGGAAAGGGGCTTCTACGTCTACAGGAGAAGGGACGCCACTTGCCATGGAATACTATTTGTTCAAATATACCCCTCTTTTGTTAAGTTTGTTTAAGGTAGATATCCAATCCTACGTGGCACTAACATTTGATGAGGTGGATACCACATGGCATGCCAGCTCAGCGCCCCCAATCCATATATAAAAGACTAAAATTTGAAATACAATATTTTTCATGGTAGCGGTAATGGTGGCAACAGTGGTGGAGGAAAAGGAAATTTTAGTGGTGGAAAAAAAATAGAAGGGAGGAGTAAAATGGGTTAGGGGTACTGAGGTGGCCAGCCATGTGGCATCCACCTCATCAAATGTCAATGCCACGTAGGATTGGATGTACACTTTGGATAAACTTAAAGGAAAATGAGTATATTTGAACCAATAATATAACGAGGGGTATGTTTGAACTCAAAGTATATCAAGAAGTATATTTAAATCTTTTCTGATAGTATTGGGGTATATTTTGCACTTTTCCGTTTCGGTAATAACAAAAGTTGCCAAACAAATAGAAGAATCACATTTGAGCTTCAAATTGTTTCACTTCTACATAAAAAAGAGAATTGAAGTCCTCATAACCCTAAATGTTTAAAACCTTTCCCTCCCTCTGACCACTCCCCCAGCCCCCCAGTCCTCCCCACCCCTCTCCCTCCCCCCCCCCCCCTAAAAAAAAAAAAAAGACGTCGTTCCTCATAGAAAATATAACAAAAATAATTAGTCATGTCCAGTTTAATTGTTTTCTACTATACCAATTAGGAAAATGCAAAATCCTAATACCCCCTTCAACTGCTATTGAGCCCCAAAGTCCCACAAATGAATAGTACCATCACTAGAACAAGCTACTATATGCCTTTGATTTGCAAGTGTAGCATTTACTTCCCCTATTCTCTCCCTTAAACTATAAAGATACACCCCATTTTGTACCGCCCAAACCCTAATAACTCCTCCCACATACATTACTGCGTACCCACTACTATTCATGCATCCAACAACTCCACGTTGAGACGCTCCCCTCACGTTAAACCTGCATGCCTCCTCTAAATCCTCCACTCGAAGGACAGTGGCAACGCCCTGGCCGTCCACTGCCACGAGCAACTCGTTCGTGGCATCGAAGGATCCTACGATGAGCACTTGTTGGAAGGATCGTTCTTGGATTATCAGGCCTTGGTTTCGTAAGTTGATTACAACGAGGCGTAGGCCAGTGCATGCCACGGCCGTGTCTTGAGTCGCGATCCTGATACGGGCCACGAGCTCGGTTAACTCGGTGAGGAGGTGCCAACCCATTACTGCTTCTGGATCGGTTAAGTCGCCGCCGACGTAGATTAGCTCCTCCGTTTCACTATTCCATATGTGAAATGCACGCCCAGGCACACCTGAAATATTGTTAAATAAAAAGGAGACACTTTAACACATGCTAAAAAATTTGGATCACGCTACAAATAATCAAATTGAAAGCACTTTTTGATTTTAGCATTTATTAGAATGTAGACTAATGATGAGAAATTAATATAGGTGCAATTAAATTTTTTTTACTCTAAATACCATTTTCCTCTTTGCATGGACAAATGGAAAATTCTACTCTACTTTTTCACATTCTCCTTGTCCATTTTTATTAGAACAACTATACTTGGTTCAACGCGTGATAATGTAAATCAAGGCATTATTATAGTGTTAACCTGCTTTCATCTTTTTTATCGCTCCATCTTTAACAAATACTTTAATTTTTTTAAATTTATTTTTGGGACAGCAAGATAAATAGGAAGATAATTTTTCTATCGTTTTTCCCTAACAGTCCTAAGGAAAAGAATAACATTGCTCAAGGAAAAGTTAATCAAGCTTGTTACACATTTTAACACTATAATATCCTATACTTTCCATCACATTGCTTCATAATTAGTCATGATTGTACAATTTAGTTTTTTAGGAATTTTAATATGTTTTTCTCTCCGTTTTAATTTTTAGGATAAATAATCCACCTTTTAATTAAATGTAATACCCACAAAAATCAACTTTTAGCATTACACTACGTTAGATAAAAATAAAGCATATACAAACACAAATTACTTACGTACGTGACCAAAAAGAAGAGAAAAATAGACAGAGTTGTGAATTCACCTGCATAGAGGCCAACCCACCAATGATCACAGCCAGTGAAGTCTACTAAAGCGCCGTCATTCACCACGTCTCCTAAGTGTGCACGGCGGGGCGGGGTGGCTCCGCTGATGACCGCCACATGTATATCACCATCTAGAGAAGCAAAAACAAGGTTCTCATCCGACAAAATGATCCCGGAAACAGCTCTAGAGTACCGGCCAAGCCGGTCACGGAGTTGGGGATGAAACGTCGATAAATGAACCCTAGTCTGTAGATGAAACAACTGAACCGAGCCGTCGGAGAACCCGGCGGCTAAATGATGATCGGACAACGTGAGACGACGGCAAGAAAGGCCGTCGTTGTTGTCGTTGTTGTTTGTAGGTACAAATTGGAGAGTGTGGTAAATGTACGTACGTTGGCGGAAATTGTTGGAAGTTTGGTGCCAGTATACATATTCGTCGTGCCATGTTTGGCGGAGAAGGTGGCGGCGGTTCCATATTTCGAGGGTTAAATTTTGCCAGAGAAGATCGGAACGTGAAACTGCTCTCCATGTTGAACACACCTGAAAATATTATTAAGAAAATATAAAGTTCAGCAATTTCCCTACAACATTTAGAAATTATGCACATCTTACATTTGATATGATATTCTTTTGTCAAACTAATCTTTCATTTATTATCTCAGTAGTATTGTTTACATCACTAACACAATATATCAAAGTAAAAAAAGTATTCTAAGTTTTGATAAATAAAGTTACTCAGAATTTTTTGGGATGAAAAATAACAAATGATGAAATAACGAATACACACCAATAATAACAACAACAAATCTAGTGTGTACACAATATTATCTCTACCTCGTAGAGATAGAGAGGCTATTTTCACTCTCGGCTCAACAAAGCATAAGCATAAGAAAACAACACCACCACAATAATAACAAATTTAATATAATTTTACAAATATGATATGAGGAGAATAGAATGTAAGCACATCTTATATTTTACTTTATAAAGATAGGAAAATTGTTTCCTATAGACAAACCACGAATACACCGTTATTAGAAATAAGTATATCCCAAAGTTGTGGTTTGCCAAATACGGAGAGAGTCATAGTAGTGGTAGTAGTAGCCAGTTGCCATCGATAACAAACCTATAGAAATAGGTAAGGCAAAAATGAGAGCACAAACACCAACACACTGAGAACTGTAATGAGTGAAGCTAATGCCAAGTCCATCTCAAATTATTAAAGAGTTTGACCAAAATGTTGTTTGGTTTCCAAAATGTCGAGGCATGCAGAGGCTGAGACAGATGGAAAAGACATCCAAAATGGCAATCTGGAGAAGTTAAAAAAAGGAGAATAATGGCACGCGCGTTTTGGGTGCTTTTAACTCTATTTCTTAGTTTTAATTTATGCAAACTTATTTTTTTTTAATCTGGCTTAAAAATAATTTAACCTAATTTAATCAATTTTATTCTTAATGATAAACTTCTATAATCATGTAAATATTACTACACGATATTTAAAATCATCAATTTCATAACTATATAAATGTAATACTCTCTCCGTTTCAAATTAAATGAGGTAGTTTGAATCGACACGGAGTTTAAGGAAAAAAAGAAAGACTTATGAAATTTGTGGTCTTAAAAGCTTAAGGGATAAAGTTTTGTGGGGCCATGACTTTTGTGTGGTTATAAAAGCTTCTCATTAAGGGTAAAATGGGTAAAATGAGAAGTTTAAAGTTGAATTATTTCCAAATTTAAAAATGTGTCATTTATTTTAAAATAGACTAAAAAGAAAAGTACCTCATTTAATATGAAACGGAGTGAGTAACAAATTACAAACTCAATTAACATATTCACATAAATTGACAGCGGAATGGCGGAACAACTACCTAAACTTGCACCGCGAGTATTATCCTACTATAAAAAATTATACTTACTTTTCATATTAATGCCTTTACTCAATCATTTCATATTACGCCCTCTATTTCAATTTATTTGAATCTATTTTCTTTTTGATTTATTCCAAAAAAATGACTCCTTTCTAAATTTGGTAACAATTTAGCTTAAACATACAATTCTGCCCACATGAAAAGCTTTTATAACAACACAAATACTCTGGGCACCATTTTGACTTGTTTAGGACCACAAATTCCAAAAGTCTTTATTTTTCTTAAACTCCGTGCCTACTCATACAGGTTCACATAAATTGAAATAGAGGGAATAATAAATATGGATGATGAATAGGTGCAAGTTTAGGTGCCCCAACATATCCAAAACGATGGTTTCACGCAAGGGCATATACAGAACTTTTCGTAAGTGGTGTCGTTCATAAATAGAATAAATAAATAAATACTTATTATTTAATATCATCTTTTCACAAGGTGAAATCCTTGATCCAATGGTTTAGTTAAATATTATCGTCTAGGGAGCGTATAAGTTTAATTCTCCTTACATGAGTGAAAATAGCACGGGCCAGCTATTTTTCAGATTAATAATCAAAAAATAGCCCGCATTTTCAAAGTGATTGAAAAATAGCCACTATTTTGCAGAAATACGGATAATTCCAGCATAATATGCGGGAATATAGAACTCCTACGTATAAACTTCCACCATATTAATTTAGAACTACGGCTCATTGAAAGTTCTAACATTATATACCAGATTATGGAGCTCTTGCTTTTAAAATTTCCAGCATATTATGTTGAACTCCAACACCTTATGAAATTCCAACACATTATGCTAGAATCTCATACAAAAAAAATTCAAGCTACAGCATATTATACTAGGATATTTCCAAATTATTAAGGATATTTTGTTTAGATTTTATCTTTACATAAAAAATGATTAAATTTCAATAACTTTTGAAACTATGACTATTTTTTAATTATCAGTTGTAAATTTAATTATTTTTTATTTTTCCTCTCATATGACCTTTATAAGTTCAAATACGAGCTTGACCAGTAGACCAAAAAGTACTCTTTATCAAGAAACAATATCACCATTATATTTGTAGACACGTAAAATTTATTCGATTCAAATTAAATAAATAATTTGGATTATATTTTCATATACTAGTCCAGATAAATTATGGGCTAATATATATGGAGTAAATAAGTAAGTCTCAATCCATTGGGCTAGCCCATTTAATTGGGCTAAAGTAATGAACCCACTTCATTAAGCCCAAGATGTCATCTTCCTAGAGGCCCAGTTTGGTGCTACGTGTCAAATGACGTGGCACGCCAAGTCAAATGGAAGAGCCAATAAAACCATGCCACGTGTCAAAATGACAAGGCATGCTCAGTCACACTGAAAGGCTAATGAAATCGCGCCACGTGTGCAAGTGACATGTTCTGGCCAATCAAATGCGGCCATGTCACACTTTAATTTGATTGGTCGGAAAGAGTTTGTTCTTATCATGACTCCTCCCTCCCACAACTATAAATAGGAGTCTTTATAACCTAGAAAAGACACCAGAAGTTATAACAAGAAACAAGAAAGAGCTCGTGGATCAAACACTGCAAATTCCTCCACAAGATTCAAGTTCAAGTTTCAAGCTTCAAGCAATCAAGTTCAAGTTCAAGTTCAAGAACGAAGAACAAATCAAGTATTCAAGCTCAAGAACGAAGAACGATTCAAGTATTCAAGATCAAGAACGAAGTCAAATCAAATACAAGGCGTTCAAGATCAAGGCTACTTGTTCGTGATAAAATTCGTGGCAACAATCAAAGTGTTCGCGACGGATAAATCAAATTCAAATTCAAGATCAAGCTCAAAGGCCCTTGAATTTATACTAGAAAAGTAGAATCAGAGGAATCATAGAGATTGTAACACTCAAAATATTCGAAAATACAAATACTACGATTAGTTGCGTAGTATTTTTCGGTCTTGTATTTTATTTTCTCGACGCAAATTTATTGTCTACAAATTCTGGCACGCCCAGTGGGACAATCTCTACCTCTCATCTCAACTTTTCAATCACCAAAGTTCAAGAACATTGAAATGGCTTCAAAGAAAATCAACTCCGTTTCAACTTCCACCAAAGCTGCTAACTCCAGGTTCTATGCTGATGTGGAAAGCATCCTCGATGTTACCTTTGGAAGCTTCGGACCAGTTACGAGGATCAAAGCAAGCTCTTTAGGACAACAAGCACCCCAAATGTCGTCCGCGTCAACCCCTGTTTTCGGATCTTCATCCTCAAAAGGAGCAAGATCTTCCATAAACGCATCTGAAGGAGGAAGCGATGTTGCTGAAAAGATCAAGAAAACTCTTGCTCTGCTTGATCTCTCCGGATCCAAACACTCTGCCATGAAGGAAGATGATGATGCTTCAAGTGATGGATCCTCCCCACTTACATCATATAGCGTGAGCCGATCAAGGATCAATCTGTGTGAAAATCCATGCTACTCTCCGTCGTCCACGACAATCGTGCAAGCTATGGTGACAAACACTTCATCCATGGAGGAGCAGTTGGCAAACTTGACGGATACAATCGCTGGCTTGACCAAATGCATGCAAAATTAAGAGGCTAAAATTGACAAGCTAACAGATAGGGTGGGAATTTTCTCGTCCGCAATTTATTGTCTACAATATCTTGCTTCATTTTTGTAAAACATTAGTATAAATATTTAATATATTTTTCGGCAAAACAACGTCGGATAAGCCCGCTTCCACCCATATGTGTCCTTCCCTGCTTCACGTGACGGCCATTTGGAGAAACATGGAAAACAGCCTTTTCGCATGCAATAGCCATGTGTGTGGCCGCAACTCCTATATATTATATACAAATCTTCAAACTATCTAGTCATTCCGGGGTTGTATACAACGCATTTCTCGAGATCCGCCACAGGCTGGGCTGAGAGTTGTGGCATGAATAACTATCTACTCCTACGTTTCATATTAGATAAGGTAGTTTGACTCGACATAAAGTTTAAAAAAAAAAAAGAAGACTTTTGAAATTTGTGATCCTAAAAGCTTAAGGAGTAAAAAGTTTATGCAGTCATGACATTTGTGTAGCTATAAAAGTTTCTCATTAAGATTAATTTGTTAAAATGAAAGAGTTTAAAGTTGAATTATTTTCAAATATAGAAATGTGTCATTTGTTTTGAAACAGACTAAAAAGGAAAATACCTCATAATATAAAACGGAGGGAGTAGCATAGTTCGTAGAGCACTTTTAGTGAGCATTTGGACATAAGAATTATAAAATTTCAAACAAAAAAAAAGTAAAAAAAAAATAAATTTAAGTGATGACATAAATATAATATTGGGCTATTTTTGAATTTTTGTAAGTAATCTGAGTGAATATTTTGAAAAACAGTTTTTTAAAATTTTTTAAATTTTCGAAAAATTTCAAAATTCATCTTCAAGTGAAAATTGAAATTTTATGGCCAAACACTAATTCGAAAAAAAAAAAAAGAAATTCTTATGTCCAAACGGGCTGTTAGTCTTCGTAAAATTTTCTTTTGAAAATAAAAGCAGGTTACTTTCTATCATAATTAAAAATATTTAATCATATAATTTTTTTATGCTGATAATATATATAATTAAACGTTAGAGAAAGAA